TCCAGCATTATAGTGGGTCATCCTTGACTTCATTGTTATTTCAACAAAGCACTTCAATTACAAGCTTAAAGACCAGCTCACACACAGCACCAGAGCGACATTTTGATTCATCACTCTTTCCTTATTTTTGGACTTTGGGAGTGCGATTGCAGAATTAGTTCTAATTAATGTCAAGTCCAGGGCAGTTTTGTGTGGTGGGCCAGGATCCGGGGGGAATTGCATTTAGATTGCCAGCACTTACTTCACCTGTAACCATAAAGGCCTTTGGAGAGAGGAGACCTTTCGCCCCCTTTTGTCTAGGCTGGATTCAAACCAAGGTCCCAAAGGTGAATGACTGGCTTCGCTTCTAACACACTGTGCCTCCCCGGTCCACATAACTGCAGTGATTTTTTTTATGGGGACATAATCTGTATCTAGAAACCATCTGTCTTTAGCTGCCAGTTTTTGGACAGGCTGAATGCTTTGATAGCAGTTTTCCTGTAGTCGAATAAATCCATTACTGAGATAAGGTAGTTACCATAATAAAAAAAAGGAAGCTGGAATGAGAATAAAAGTAATCAGACTAGAAATTAAAGTTAATTGAAGGCTGGCCTTCTGTGAATAAGTTCAGAAATGGTTGCCTTATTGCACTGAATGCCTGGGTGCAGAAATGAGGTGTCAGTACTCTGTGGGTTAAGAAAAGCACTTGAAGTGAGCTTAATTTAATACATTTTGATCCCTGATGATTACGTTATAATTATTAGGGTGGGGGGGAAAACGTACAAACAAATTACATTTGCTATCTTTGAATTAAAATTTTACTTGAATAGCGTGTGGAAGTAACCTTTGACGGCTTGTGAGTCCCAGTGGATAGCTGAGAAGTCTCAAGGTCTTCTGTGTATGTTGCAGTAGGAATACCGTAAAGAAGGGTATGGATAAAAAAAGGGTATGATCTTTATGCTATGTGCGGTGGAAATTGACTTTTTTAAAGAAATAAGGGTTAGGGTTAAAAAGTCTTCACTCGTGCTTTGATGTTGACACAACATCTTAACAATAATAATAATCTTTGCATTTGATATAGCACCATATCACGTCATTGAGACGTCTCAAAGTGCTTCACAGAATATATTGTAAAGTGGATTGACCGTGTATGTTGTGGTTGAAATGCGGCAGCCAATGGCACACAGCAGTGTCCCACAAACAAAATATCTTGCAGCTTTCATTTCGAATCTCAGCAGCAACCACCTCCCTTCCTTCTCCCCCCCCCCCCCCTCAAAAAAAACAAATTACACAACGCACATGATATCATCTTGCTTGTGCTATTAATGCATCAACCCCAGCAAGAAAACAAAGGACAAAAAAAAATCCATTGGCTTGAAATGTGGGTTAGGTAGTGTCTGTAAAATGAGAAAGTGAATTGATCAGCCTTTGTCCCAGTCCAAAAGAAATGTTACTGCAGATTTAAACCCAGCCGTGTAAGAATATTTGATGTTGGGAGGAAGAAAGCAACATCAGTTAAGGGAATCATAAAGAAAGAATGTATTACGATTGCATTAGGGATTTAGTGGGAACTGTTAGAATAATTATGTCTGTTTGAAGAGAGGAAGCATTGAGACCTCGAATTTGGTAATGATATTTTAATCTATTTTGTGTGCTTCTATATTTTATATTTCTCAGGCATTTCTTTTGACTGCATGGAAGGATTGAATTAATTGTTCCAAAAATGTTTGTTACAACTCACGCCTTCCTCTATACGGGTAACTTATGGCAAGCTGGAAACAGTGCGCTGGGTAAGAAGAGATAGCAGAGAACCGTAACTGCGCTTTATTTTAAAATGTTTATACCATTGGGAATAGCATGGTGTAGTCCAGAGCCCCAGACTCTCTCGTGATCTGAGTCTCAAGATTTAATACAGTGTAGAATTTTTTAGGGAATCAATATTGATTTGGAAGCTGCTTTCCCACTGTTCTTTTTTTAAAAGACAACTGCATAAAACTTGCAAATAATAAATAACAATCCTTTCCCCGTTTGCTACAGCCTCTAAAAAAGTCTAATACCTCAACACACTTCCTAAAGTTTTTGTAAGGTGCAGTGACTGTACTTGTAGGCTATCTAAGGCTGGAATTAAGATGGAATTGTTATTCCCAAAAAACTGCACAAAATATTATCGAGACCATGAGAAAGTTTTGGGTCTCCATTGATTTAGCAAACTGGAGTATATATTGCTGTGTATCTTAGTCCTATGGAAACAAACTGTTTGTGACTCCACATATACACGAAACGCTCCCAGTCATCAAACGATAGGCAAGGGGTCACCACCTGCAAAAATATCTGCCTTCGATTTGCTTTGACTGCTTGCAGTGGTATGTCTTTTTTCACACTGAGCAAATATACATTAAGGAGTTGCTGGGTGTGAGCCCAACATACACAATGGTAAGGCTTGTGCAACGCCAGATAGCTTGTAGTTCACAATTACCACCATTGGGCGAATGAATAAAAGAACTCTTTTAAACAATCCTTTCATGGTAATTTCTGAAGCCGAATCTAACATCAATTACACGTTGGGCCCCAACATAAAAAGAGTCTTGTTTTTACCCACTGCCCCGAACAGATCGAACGCATTTAGTTTGGTTTCTTCACTGCTGCGTATCAGCATTGTATGAACCTCAAGGGGATACTGAAGCCTGTCTTAAGGCTCAAGCAAGCTATAAGCTTGATGTTTATGAGATACTATAGTGGGTAATTGCTAATGAACACTGGTATAGATGTGTAAGATCAAAGCAGAAACTGTTAAACTAGCCCTTTTTTTAAAAAAAACATAGTAGTAAAATTAAGCACTGTCCTTGACTGCGTAATACTTTAAAACTGGCAGTTTATGTGGAAGCCCAAGAATAAAAATATTTAGGCTGATTAGCCAGCTGTGAGTAATTCTGAAAATATACAGGATGAGCTAAATTTCAATTTACTGTCTTTTAATGCAATTAGCCAATCATGTGTTTGCTTCATGTCCCCGGTCCAATCCACCATCGGTGGACAAGCTTTCAGCCATTCTGTTGTTGCTCTCTGGAGCCCCCAACCCTCCTGTCTTGCCATCTCCATCCCTACCTCCCCGGGTTCAAAATCCACCTTAAAGGCCTATCTTTTCAACCGGGTTTTCGACTACAGTTGACTCTCCCCCGACTCGGGTTCTCAGTCAGTTGTGCTGTGTCAAGAATTTGTCTCTGTCTTGTCGGCTTGAAAGTGGCTATAAAAATGGAAATTGTTGTTCCCTTAGTTATTGAGAAAAGAAGTGCAATTTTTTTTCATGTCTGGTTCTGATATTTGGTGTTGGATTTTTGGCCCACCCTGAAGTGAAAACAAGGGATTTTTCACCACCACTCGCCCCCCTCCCCAGGTTTAGTAAATTTACTGCAGCCAGGGATTTTGACCACAATCCAGAGAAGAAAGCTTTTCCCCCGAAAATTGGTTCAAACCCAAATATTCTCCCATATATCAATGGGAATATTTCTCCCATCCCACGCAACAATGATGTTGTTCACTAGTGATCCAATGTACCCCAACAACTAGCTTACCAATAGCTTACCGATTCCGAGTCCACTATTTTAACCATTAATACAGACTCAGCAAACCATGACTGTTAGCAGTGTCAAGGTACCAAGGTGACCAGAGATGTAGTCTTGGAAAGAGTCTGATGCATTCCACATCTTTGCCAGTTTTCTGTATCTGTCCCTGTTGCTGCCTTTGTAACTTGATAACACCATTATTGTCTCACATGTGGAGCTGCTGAACTATTACTTAAAACAAAAGGATCGGTGGTAAATTTGGTTGTGGCTGATACGTGGTTTGTCCTTGTTTTTAAATGTTTACAATATTTATGAGCCACAGTAATGCAAGACATTGCCTTTTATAATAATAAATAATCCTTGCATTTGATATAGCGCTTTTCACGTCGGGAGGACGTCCCAAAGCGCTTCACAGAACACACTGTAAAGTGAATTGACTGTATATTTGTGGGCGAACGCGGCAGCCAATTGCGCACAGCAATGTCCCACAAACAGTCGTAGATTGAAAATGACCAATTTATTATTGTTTTTGGTTTTTTTTGGAGGGATTATTATTAGGCTCTGTGTGGAGTAAGGAAACTTGCCCAAGGTTTCGCCCTGTCTGGGATTGAACTCAGGTCTCTCACTTGCAAAGCGAGTGCTCTAACCACTGAGCTACAGGACTCCTTTTGGTAGTAAAATGTTCAAAAAAAAATTGTCTTATTTTAGTATGCACGCTAATGCGGAGCACTTATTTTCAGTTAATAATCCAAATTAAATTTCTGTGCTAATTTGTACAGTATGTTGTCTAGTAACATTCAGTTCTCAGCTGTTGTATATGAATAAACTGAGCATTGGCCTCTTCTAAAGGATTTATTTGCGTCAAATTGTCATGTGTCCTAGATTGGAATTTGCATCTTGCAAATGGTATGACTGAAGAGCCTTTGAATTAGTGTTGTGTAGAAGGAGCTGAGGTTTGTGGTCAATAACAAGTTGAAATAGATTTTCGGCGTTGAGGACTTGAAGGTGATGGCAGAACCATCTACCACTTTTCCCTCCCTCCTTTTCCTCCTTTTAATTGAAGGATATCAGGTGTCGGCCAGGCTCAGTTGATAGCATTATCACCCCCAAGTCAGAAGGCTGTGGGTTCAAGCCCCACGTCAGGACTTTGAACTCATGTAGTATAGGCTGACACTCCAATGAGTCCACTGCTTTGGTCATTCATTCATGGCTGTTTGTAAGACATTGCTGTATGTAAATTGGCTGCCGTCCTTCACCAGGCAGACACTAGGAATAGTATGCTATGTCCCCAAGTGTTTCTTTAGAAAAAATAAAAAGGAAGAGTTGAAACGCAGTAAAAGAAATTGTAACAAACAGTTAAAGTATTCCTCAAATGGTTGATCAATTGTGTTTTAGTAATATTGTACTACGCGTATTCTGCCGCTGTTTAAATTTGGGTCTTTTTTTTCCTTTTTTTAGCACTTGCAGCAACATGACAGCATGGTGGAGACTGAGGCATGTTATTACCATTGTTCACTGTGCACCTACTCTACCAAGGCCAAGCTCAACCTGATCCAGCATGTCCGCTCCATGAAACACCAACGCAGCGAGAGTCTCCGCAAGCTACAGCGGCTCCAAAAGGGATTGCCGGAGGACGAGGATGACCTCGGGCAAATCTTCACCATCCGCAAGTGTCCAGCTGCCGAGACGGGTAAGTGATGATTGGTCCCTCACTGGATTCTCACATAACTGGCCCCTCGGAAAAAAGACCTGCCGTTTGTTCTGTTCACCTGCTAAAGACCCTAGACCTTAAATCAATCAGGATTTAAATCGCCTCTTGGGTTATGTTAGTTTCACAAATTCTTAATTTACTGAAGTATGTTTGATACAGATTGTGTAGAAGGAGGAAGAAGAATATATCGATTGGAACACTAGAGTGGAACTTATTTTGTTTATTTTGTGACTGAGAGTTTAAAGGCTGAGATGGGTCTCCATGTATTCTTATCTCTTAGAGCAACATTTTAGATTTTCAGTTCAGACTTTGATGTCTCTCCCATGTTACTGCTCAGTCGGTTAAAAGAGAGGGAACCCGACTGTTGAAAGAAAACTGGTAGAAACAGATGAGGACATATTCCCCTTTCCCTGCACCACCCAACTCTGACCATATAAAGCAGAATATTGCACCTTAGCAGTGAAACTGTTGCCCACTTGCCTGCTTCTTATCGGCCAAGACTGCTCCGTGTGTTCATTAGAATATAGTGGAGGGGAATGAGGAGGAGGAGGAGGGAGAGAAAAAACTGGGATGAAAATACAAAGTCTGAACCTAGTCTCCTTCCTGAGCGCTAGACTGAGAATACTCCAATCGCCGAACACCTTGGGACGAGTGCAGAATGCAGCTGGCCACTGCAATATTTATTTAAAGTGACCCGGCAGCTAACCCCTTCTGAACAGAGCCATTTCCATTTCAACTGGCTGATCCAAGGGCACGATGGTTCTGCACTAAACGGTTCCTTTGATGAGTCCAATGAATATTTTAGAGAGACTGATTTGGCAGAGGTGGGCTAACCACGTCTCTCGTTGCCCCGGTTGTTTGAGGGATGTGCAAGGGTTCCTCCGAGCTGAGTGCTGTATCGGAACCGGTGCCACAGCGCTGAGCTGCCAGGGAGGGCAATGTTGCTGTGCGTTCCAGGGCCTGGAGGCCACACACGTTGACACTCGTTTCCAAATAAAGCCTGGCTATGTTGGTGTTGGCACTTGACGCGGTTTGCTGGAAGCACCAGTGCTGAGAGTGTGATCTTTGTGCAAGAATACACTCACCTATTTAACTTTATGATCCTCTGTGGGAAGTTACAACGGGCCAATTCTGGCTAATTTTTTTTGTTCCAAGTACACTACTTAGCAATCCAACCTTATTAGCTCGTTGAATTTAACCCATGACCTGACCAGAAGTGAAAAGGAGCCAGGCTATTATTGCTCATTAGGGAACAGCTATGTGGTTTTTTTTTAAAACTTTTTTTTAATAGATTTTATATCTAAAGAAATGAGCAGAAGTATTCAGTAATGTTACTTACCCTCAAAACCAAAATACTGCAGATGCTGGAAATCTGAAATAAAAACGGAGAAGTCGCCTGGAATGCTTGTTTCCAGCGACTTCTGTTATTATCACATACCCTCAGTTTTGTTGCGAGTTCATATTTAAGATCAGCACGTAGGCAAAGCTGAGCTATAGTGTGCTTGAGCGAGAGAGATGGACACATTACTTCATTGCTTTTGCTGTGGTCTGTGGTAAACTGTTACCAGCAGTGTAAAGCAGTGTTGGGAATAAGAGGGAAGGAAATAAAAAGGGGTGACTCTATAAAAGGTTTTTTCCCCTCAAAATCCAGAGGATGAATGTGCAGTTGTCGCATTCGTCACAATCTTGCCTCAAATAGGATTTAATGTGACTTTATTAAGCTTTTGTTTTATAAAGCTATTTGTGATATCAACCAGTGATCCTATCTGGTTTTGACTTGAGCAGGACTGTACTTTCACACGCTCCAGTCCTTCGACGGGGCTGAAACTGTTGCCAGCTGAAGTCCCTTTGACTTTGCTGCCTAAATATCTTCACAAGCTGCCCCGTCATCCTCACCGTCTAGTGAGATCAGTTTTTGGGAGTTAGTTTGCACCTTGTCGCAGTTTGCCTGGGTTGTGAATGGGAAACAGAGGTTCAGGGGTTACTGGTTATTCCCACCCTTTTAAGACCCTAGTGCCTGAAGACCTGTGAATACCATATTTATCTTCGAAAAAATGCCCCCCGTCCCCATCAAGTAAAACCCCATTTTCTAACATAACAGTAGCAATTTCATTGCAAAGCAGGAACCTCAAACTGCGTTTTTCTCCAACATTAGATCTTGCATTATTCCAAATCTTTTTATTCACCAAGGTTTTTTCCCTGTGTGGCGATTTTGAAAAATGTTTTTTTTCATACACATAAAAAACAAAATATTTTTCCATCGAGGTCAAGATATTGCTTTGATGTTAATGACCTTGCCATTAACATCAAATCTTTGGGCAATAGTTGTGTTTCAGCATTATGCAACCTGATGCATAGGCTCATATTCCCTGGGCATCTTGATCTGATTAATCTGATAATCAACCAAAAAAAAGCCCCATCTGTGGGCAAAACATTAGTGAGCAATGTTGGCAGAGAGAGCTGGAATTGGCCTCAAAAGGTTTCAGTTATGAAAATTTCCTCCACTGATACAATATTTAATTTCCGTCTGCATAATCATTATGATTTCAGTTAAAACCTGAGACTCTTTGTGGTTGGGGCTCTGCCATAAAAGCAGCCAAAGGTCCCTCACTTGTTAAAACAAAGACGGCCTGGATTTATGGGTCAGTGCTAAACTAATTTCCTTGGGCAAGCTGGCGAATCCGGAGTCATGTTTTGAACGTGTGCAGCAGCTCCTGCTTCTGTTGGAGAGGTAGTCAAAGGACAATTTTCTCCTGTACTTAACTCTTTCTGTGACTCTATGGGGACAGCGAGTCCGATGCCTATGGTCCCTCTGAAGCTCTCTTTGAGACGTTAGGCTGTGTGAAAGGCGCGTGTGAGCTTCTGTTCCTACTGGAACCTACCCGAAAGGGTCTAGTTTGGTCAGTGTTCATCCATAATAATAATCCTTGCGTTTGATTTAGCGCCTTTTCACATCTTTGAGACGTCGCAAAGCGCTCCACAGAATATACTGTGAAGTCAATTGACTGTATATTTTGTGGGCGAAACACCCCATCTGATGACTGTGGTCTTTGCCTTTTTAGTAATTTAGAAACTTCTTTTGGTAATGAATCCATCTCATTTCAGAAGAAGTTTTTTTAAAAAAAAAACGCACTACTGAAATCCGGCTTCCAAATTATGATCGAATCAAATTGTTTTCTAAAATTCGCACTGTTAAATTTTAAGACTTCAGAGCCCTAAGTCGACAACCAGGAGGGTGTTTTGCCTTTTGTTATCTTATTCATAACAAATCTTATTGCCCAGTGCCTCGGAACATCCTCACGATATGAAAGGCGCTATATAAATGCAATTTGTTGTTGTTGATGGAAACGAATGGATCATCTCGCACGCCAGCCCAATTGGAGGGTAACCTCAAATGATGTTGAGGGAATATTTTTAGCCTTTTCGTAATAACTGCTCCATTTGTCCCTCAGCCAATGCCACATAATCATCTTTACTCGCTACAATGCAAGACTGTTGCTTCTGGCATAATGAAGGATTTCAATCGGCCCAATTTCACTTCAGTTAGTAAATTGTACTGTCACTGAGCAACTGGCAGCAATGCTTAAAGGGCAGTTAAAAAGGCTTGGTTCATTCCACCCAAGAACAGATGTGTGCCAGCAACAAGTGGAAGCATTGTTGGTGTGATGTCCAGTCATTGCCTCTATTCAATAATATTTAGCCAATTTGCAGTAAACGCTCAGCGCGTGACTGGTGCTGCTGGAAGTTTCCAAATTGTGAACGGCTGCACGGTCCCCAGTCGTGGCATACACAGCACAGCGCTGTATGGGCACGTTGGGGGGAAGCCTTGCAGTGGTAAAGCTAGGCGGATAGTGTGTGCGCGGACTGGAGTCGCAAAGTGACCACTGATGGCCTCCTTGTGTGCAGGCCGTCTCGGAGGAGGCTTCTATTGAAAGACGGGTGGCCCAAGTCTCTCTGTGAGGAATCACCCAGACTAGGGATCTTGGGCAGCTCCAAAGGCTGTTGGGTGTCACTGCTGGAGTGACCTGTAAAATGACCTCCACTGCCTGATGTCAACAGGTTAATGCTGGGGGTAGAGTCATTCTGTCGACCGTGCTCCACGCAGGGTTCCCGTAGAGCTCGCAACCGAGGACCCCACTAGCCGGGGTCGTGCCTCTTTAAGGAAAGCTAACGTAGTGTAGAGCACCTTGTTCAGAAGGAGAGGAAGGCACTGAATGTCCGGATCCCTTCCGCCTCATTCTTGTGTGAATTTCGTGTCAGAAATATCAACCCAATCCACGCTGGAAGTTGTGTGATGCTTCAACTGAGAGAGAAAGTCAGGTTTTTTTTGGGGGGGTGTTGGTGGGGAAGGAGCACTGAGGTTCTTGTGATTGAAATCTCTAAACTGTCTCTGAGGCGGTCAGTGAGGACTAGTGAATAATACAGACGCATACTACCAGACGTATTATGAAAGGTACTACATGAGGGCAAGTTGTTATTTCTGCTCTCAGAACCTTCACTGTCAGTATTCAACAAAACCTCAGCAGAAGCTGCACAGCCCTGACCCACCGAAGCTTTTACTGATGGAGCCTGCAGATGGACCACTTGAGCCCAAATGTAGTGTTACGTTTCACCAAAGATCACAATGGCGAGATCCAGTTCTAAAAGAAAACTTCACCAACAGCAGCCGGTGCTGTTCGCTCCATTTGATAAAGTCTGATCTTTGGAGCTGAGCTAACGGGCTGTCATTTGTAATTATTATCGATCAATTCCAGCATTTGGATTTTGATCAGTCTTTGTGAATACATCCCTCCATTTTGAGGGTGATGGCGCTCGTCTGGCCTTGACTCGAGAGCCTTTCTACCCAAACCATGCGGTGATTGTGAGTGTGGAGACGATGCGGATACATGGCTGTTCAAAACGGCGATGCTCTCAGAGCACGGGGCACACGAGAACCTTTGCTAAAATGCCTGCGCTGCTGAGTTCAGGACTCACACTGA